TTAGTGAACAATGCTGCAGTTTGTGTTGACCCTCTGTGACACTGTTCACACTTGGTGTGATTCTGTGCATCATCACAGATCGTGACAACAGAAGCTGTAAATTTGCCACCATCGTCCTTTATCAAATCTCAACAAGTCATTTTTTGAACCAGTTAACTTGAATAAATAAAATTGAGTGGCACATTTCCTCTGTTGTGGAATCCATTGTGAACATGCCGCTGCTGCTGCTGCTGCTCCAGGTGATGCAGAATCGCTCCGCCTTTTTTTTTTTGAAGGAGGGTCTAATGGTACTTTCCTGCTTTGCATTGCTTCAACGGACCAATTAGAGAAATTCCCCTCTCACCTCTGATTACTTTCAAACTAAACAAACAAACGAACAAACAAAAAAAAGCAATGCAACATGACATGAATGTAATTTGTAATTCAACGCATTACAGAAATGTAGTGGAGTAGAAAGTACAGATACCTAATGTAAAATGTAGTGGAGTAAAAGTGAAAAGTACCCATGATGAAATCTACTTAAGTAAAGTACAGATACATGAAAAATGTACCCATGATGAAATCTACTTAAGTAAAGTACAGATACATGAAAAATGTGCTTGAGTACAGCAAGAAAGTACTTGTACTTAGTTACATCCCACCACTGCCTGTGGTTGTGTGTCCAACAAGGCCTGCTCTCAGCTCAGTGATTCCTCAGAAAATCCACCCAGGTTAGATTTCCCTGACATGACTGTTTGCTCATGATCCTGCAGTCATGATAAAACTGGACCTGCTTTCCAGGTAAAACAACCCTCTGATCCAACAGAGCAACATTTCTCCTGTAAGTGATTAAATCTAGCCTCACCGCTGTTTTTACTGACAGGTTGTAATTGAGTAAAAAAAGATAATATTTGCAAATTCTGTTGTGAAAAAGCGAAGAACACACAGTCAGTAAAAAATTCAGATATGATGAGAAGGAAAATAGATGTTGTGAGCACAGAAAAGAAAGAAAAGTGAAAGTAAAGCCACCTTTTTTCCGTTTCCCCTTCTTTCTTCTCGTAAAACCCAACAGATAAGTCTCATGGTCACCGGCTGCTGCAGGGACTCAGTGCTGTAAACAAAATGTGGAATATTTTCAAAGATAAGCAGCTTCACACAGTTTCCAATCTCTCTTTTGTCTTCCAGTCTCTTTTGTCAGGCCTGAAAGGTAATGCTTTAAATGTGAAAATAGCTTTTGTCGCTGTATTTAGTGCGTTCTTTTCAAAATAGCCGGACAACTTTCAAGCTAATCTTTGATTTTGTTATGGAAAGAGTCACATAGAATCAACTTTTATGATTTTTCTGTATTCTTTTCTTTTTATAAAATCAGTTATTTGGATGTTTTTTCCTGATTTGCTGGATTATGATAAAATGTATCACAATCACAATAAATCCTAAAACGAGAGTAAGGCGTACGAAATAAAAGCTAAATTTAACATTTTTTCCATTAGGTTATACGTTCTAAAGTTATATAAAACATAACTTGGAAAAGGTCATTTGTATTTCTAGAAGTATAATTTCATGTATAATATTTTTTTCAATAAATACTGAAAGAGATTGGATGTTGACTTGGATCAACACAACTTCACACCAAAGAAGTTCTGCTCAAGGGGACAGTTTTTTTTCTACTTTCTTTATTATTTTTCTTTGGATGCAGTCTCAAAAT